TCCCATCTGCATTTCACCACTCCACCCCATCAACCCAAGGCTAACATTTTCAGGCATGTGAGTCAATACAGAGTAGACATTTCTGACAGAATTCCTATGGGTATTTATGTTCTCTGTGGAACCCCTACTGTCTGCTACTCAAAAGTCAGATCTCCATGCCTCTGTCTCCCATCCATAAGTATGGCTTTCCCCGAGCTCTCAAATACTGTCCAAAACCAAAATATGCAGTTATAGTGGGTTGGAATATTTTTCTGCTGCTTTCAACCTTTTCCGTAAACAGCACCACCTTCCTTTCAAATGTACAAATGCACATTTGACTACTAAGTAGTAACTACTAAGGAGATAAAATTGTTCCTTCCTGCAGTTCAAGCAGCTTGTGAATGACTTCTTTGCCAAGTGCCACCATGGCTTAACAACCAAGTAAAAGAAGCAGTGAGATAAAAAGGCATTGTTTAAAAAGTGGAAGTTAAATCCTAGTGAAGAAAATAGAAAGGAGCATAAACTCTGTCAAATTAAGTGTAAAAATATAACAAGGAAAGTAAAAAAGGAGTCTGAAGAACAGCTAATCAAGTACTTAAAAAAAGTAATAGCAAAATGTTTTTAAGTATATCGGGGCAGGAAGCCTGCTAAACAACCAGTGGGGCTGAGCCATTCTTTTTGGGTAACAAATCCGAGGAATTGTCCTAGATGGAGCGAGGTGTGATTAGAGATGGTTTTGGAACAAATTGATAAACTTAATATTAACATGTCACTAGGACCAGATGGCATTCATCCAAGAGTTCTGAAAGAACTCAAATGTGAAATTGCAAAACTGTTGTTTGTAACCTAGTCTAAAATCAGTTTTTGCACTTAATGACTGGAAGATAGCTAATGTGCCACCAATATTTAAAAAGGCCTCTAAAGCTGGTCCTTGCTATTACAGACTGGTAAGTCTAACGTCAGTACCAGGGAAATTAGTTGAAACTATAGTTAAGAATAGAAATGTCAGACACAGATTGCTGGGGAAAGTCAACATGGTTTCTGTAAAGGGAAATCGTGTCTTATTAATCTACCAGAGTTCCCTGAGGGGCGTCATCAAGCATGTGGACAAGGGGGATTCAATGAATATAGTGTACTTAGATTTCCAGAAAGCCTTTCACTGGGTCCCTCGCCAAATGCTCTTAAGTAAGTTGTCATGGGATAAGAGAGAAGGTCTTCTCATGGATTGATAACTGATTAAAAGACAGGAAACAAAGGGGTAAGAATAAATGGACAATTTTCAGAATGGAGAAAGGTAACTAGTGGCTTTCCCCAAGGGTCTGTACTGAGACCAACCCTATTCAACATATTTATAAATGACCTGGAGAAAGAGATAAACAGCGAGGTGGTAAAATTTGCAGATGATACTAAACTGCTCTAGATACTTAAGACCAAAGCCGACTGCGAAGAGCTTTAAAAAGATCTCACAAAACTAGATGACTGGACAACAAAATGGCAAATGAATTTTAATAAGGATAAATGCAAAGTAATGCACACTGGAAAAAATAATCCCAGCTATAAATAATAAAAAAGAAATGATGGGTACTAATTTAGTTATAACCACCGAGAGATCTTGGCATCAATGTGGATAGTTTTCTGAAAACAGCTACTAAATGTGCAGCAGCAGTCAAAAAACCCAAACAGAATGTTAAGAATCATTAAAAAAAAAGGGATAGAGAACAAGACAGAAAATATCTTATTGCCTCTATATAAACCCATGGTACACCCACATTTTGAATACTGTGTACAGATGGAGTTGCCTCATCTCAAAAAAAGATGTATTGTCATTGGAAAAGGTTCAGAAAAGGGCAACAAAAATGTATAGGGGTTTGGAACGGGTCCCATATGAAGAGAGATTAAAAAGACTGGAACTTTTCAGATTAGAAAAGAGGAGACTAAGGAGGGGATATGATAAAGGTCACGATTTTTTAGACAGGCATGAAGAAAGTGAATAAGGAAAAAATATTTACTTATTCCTACAATCTAAGAACTAAGGGTCACCAAATGAAATTAATAGGAAGCTGGCTTAAAACAAACAAAAAGGAAGCTTTTCTTCATGCAGTGCAGTTAGCCTGTGAAACTCCTTGCTAGAGGATGTTGACGACCAGGACATTAAAAAGAGTTTAAAAAACTAGATAAATTCATGGAGATTAAGTCCATCAGTGGCTATTAGCTAGGATTGGTAGGAATGGCATCCCTAGCCTTGGTTTGTCAAGAGGCTGGAAATGGAGGACAGGAGAGGGATCACTTGATTACCTGTTCTGTTCACTCCCTCTGGGACACTTGGCATTGGCCACTATTGGTCTGACCCAGTATGCCATTTTTATATTCTTCAGCAATAAAAATCAGGTTTTCCAGAGTAATGGTGTGGAGGTTTTTCCAGTTAATGTCCATATTACTTCTGGGGGCGCAAACAGTTCCTTCTCCATTAATTTAAATGGGACTGAGTTCTGAAGGTCCAGGCATCATTGGCCCTTATAAATGCAGTGTCGTCTAAGTCTATAAACCAAACATGGTGGTCCGACAGTCCCTACGGAATCTTGAAGAACCCCTCTGTTCATAAATGCTACCTCATGACAGGGGAAGGAAAGGGATTGGAGGAAAATGATGGGACAATTGATGGAACTCATGTGCCCAATACTATTTGGGAACTTCATGCCTGCAAAGCATCAATTATCTCTGAGCATTACTCAGCTTCCTGAACTAGTTAAATAGCACCTTAAAGCAGGGGTGGGGAACCCAAGGCCCAAATGCGGTCTTCAGCTTGCCTAGATCCAGCCCCTGAGGCTTGCCCCCCCCCAGTATTGTGGAGCCTGCATTGGCATTCCAGACTATCCCACCATGGGGCAGGAGCAAAACATGAATAATGCTCCTCATCTCACAGGGATTCTGTGAAGATAAGTTAATGTGTGTGAGGAATAGATACTATCATGAGGATTGCCATAGAAAAGCTCATGAAGAAATTAATTCTGCTTTCAAAGCAGGTTTCAATAGTCCACAGTAAATAAGGCATAGGACCACTATAAAGGGCTCTGTTCTTCTTGTGAGTGCCCTCGGTATCAGACGAGTTTTGTAGTCTCTCTACCCGGCTGTCTGCGGGAGAGGAAGTGTCCAATGTGTGGCCTGGGACCAAGCTTCTTCTTACCCAGTTGTAGGTGCTGGGGAGGTAGGGGGGAGATGGGGGAGGACCCAGGCCAGCCCACTCTTCTGGGTCCCGGACCCTGTAAGTAGCAGTTACTTGCTGTCACGTCCCTGGCCACTTCCCAGGGAAGCTTTTCTGTCCAGCCCTTTCTTTTGGGCCTTGTGGTCAAGTCCTCCCTGACCAGGGTTCTGCAAGGGTTGCTGCTGGCTTACCGGCTACAGGACCTGGTTCTGACCAGGTATGAAGTCCAGCTTCCACTTGGAGCTGCCCGGAATGCTGCTGTTCTCCCAGTCAGCCCTTAAGTCTGCCTGGGTCAAGCTCAAGGAAGGAACTGCCAAGCCCAGGCCTACCACCTTCTTTTATATCAGCCTGCTGCACCCTGCTTGGCTGCAGCGGAGTCTACCACACTATTCTGCTTGGAGGACCTCTTTTCTGTGCCTGTTGCTGGGCAGGATGCGGAAAGGCCTCCACAGGGATATTGGGGCCTTGTCCACCCCATCACAGCCATGCACACTGAACAATGAAGACAAAACAAAATATTGAATAGTTGCTCATTAACTGAGCACTGTCCATCAATTTGAGACAGGGGTCTTAGAAAAAAGTGGGATCACATTATAAAAGACTACTAGCAGATTTACTTGGCATTGTGCAGGTCCTTAATTTTTTTAAGGAAAGATATGCTTTATTTAAATGATTGTATTTCTCAAAAATAGCATTACTTTTATTAAGTTAATTTTAATAATTTTAAAATGGGAATTCCATCAAGTATTTTTTTCCTTCATCCCTATAAATTCTTATAATTTGCTATGTCTTACAAAAAGGACAAGGGCCAATTTGGTTTCTAATAGCATTGTCTTCTAGTTTTCAAACCTTAAGCATTCATTTAGCATTGCCAAAACAGTGCACTACTCCAAATATTTCTGTTATATCTCTTTTCTATAAGGTTTGAGAAGCAATCCAAGTTAATCCTATTTTTTCTGGTTCAGTCTCATTCTGTTTCAATATTCACTCAGTTGTGTAAATTTTGGGGACTGTACTTGATTTGGTGATTGTCTCTTGTTTTTGGTTCATGAGAAGCAATCCTTTTCCAGGCACATCCAAACTTTTACATTGCTTTAAGTTAGGAGGAAGCTATATTCCGAATTTGGTGGTCCTAGCTCTTACCTTTTAGAAGGAGTTCTTAAACAAAAAGGACAAACTCTAAAAATATATAGTAAATTATAATGTGTGCGCACATAGCACTATGTCCTAAAGGTCAAATAATCTTAGATTATTTCAGAGTGACATGAGAAAGGACGTGTCCTCCCCTCAATACGGGCTAATGAATAATCATACAGCAATGACTGAGAAAACTACATCATAATGCATATGAAAAAGGTGGCCAAATTAAGGTTGCAGAGACAACCTCAATTCTGGCATTTCCTAACTTGAGTTCTTGATTTTGCCACCTTAATAGTGTTAGTTTCTGTAATATTTATACACAGAAACCAGAAGATCATAAGGAATTAAAAATACCACATCAAAAAGCATTTCAGGCGGATACATAAAACTAAAACCCATCCCTTCAAAATGTGTACAAAAGATGCAGCCACCTTACATTTTGTAACACTAGTATGATATACGGGGCATTCAAACTATGAGAACAAGGAGAAAATGCTTTTATCTGTTAAATAGAGCATATGACAAAAGTGCATTTTATTTTTTAATCTGCAACATTTACATTGCCTCACTGCAATCCTCTGGAAAATGGGCTTTTAATTAAGACAAGAGAGGTGTTACTAAAATTCAGCAGTTAGTAGAAATATGAAGTTTTAGACATTAACATATTGTTTGAACCTACCTTTCTGCAATAATTTGACCTCTCCATTCTCTTTCTTGATCTCATTCATTATTTTATATTTCTTCTTTTCTTTCTGCTTCTCTCTATCTCTTTCTTTAATTTTGTCTTTCATTTGATCTGAAAGGGAAACATTTTAAGATTGAGCAGGAACAGAAGCGTGGGACAGTGTCACATGAAACACATGTTTCATATTTCTCAAAGACTAATCAGTTTGGGGAGGGAGTGGGAAAGGAAGAGTTCTTTCAATCAGGATTTGGACAATGACATTTACAAGTGCTCTCATATCTGTTATACAATAGTGACAGTGTCTAACTATACTGAACCTCTATTTTATGGTTCTGTTACACTAACTGTATACAACTTTTTATACTATCTGGTACTGGATCAGTAATTAAAATAGTTATGCATATTCATTACAAGTCAGTACTTTTGGTTATGTTTACATTCCATTTGCAAATAATTTTTATTTCTTGAAGTTCAGAGTTTCATTAAATATTTTGTGTTTTTCTTATCTTCTAAAGAAAAAAGTGGAATTTGCATTTTCTTACAGGCATATCCACAACAGCAAACATCCTCTTAACATCTAAAATCTGAGTATTACACATTGCAAATGGAGCTTCAAAGGATATCTGAAAGGTATGTGATTTTATATTTGTCACTACTGCTGTCCAGTTTGAAACCAATCCTCCAGACAAATTTGGAGTTGAAAGATCATTTATGTGACATGTCCTAGTTGCAAGATAGCATAAACAGCATTTAGATGTTAAGACTCTCGGATGGAAATGGAAGAGAAATATTCAATCTGGGCCTCTTCTTCTGAAATATTATATTAGCACAACAAGAAATCTTCTTCATTAGAAGAAGCATTAAGACTGCCCACCACTATCCCACAACCTAATAGAGCTTACCTGGAAGATTCTCAATACCCAGTTTTTATTTCCCCTCTTAAATTCAGCCTGGGGTTTTATCACCATTTGCTATGGCTCTGACTTCTGAAAGACTGAGCCAGACGTTTTTGCACTTCATTACATGAAATAGCACATAGTAGAGTCTGAGGGAAATGCTCTTGAGGACTAAACTGACTCTTAGCAGAGGCCAACTTTTGGGACCAAACATTTATGTTCAGTCAAATGCAATCTTTTACTCCTGGGAGAACTCTGCACCACTACATATGTGCAGAATTCATCCCTTCTCCTGAAAATATATTCTGCTCAAATAGCGCTACAGTTATTATTTTTACCCACCAGAGTCTGCTGTAGCACCAGAACAGCCAGCAGCATGAATGCAGGAGTTCAGAATAGCTTTGAGGGTGCGGAGAGTGCACAAGTTGGGGCACAGGCTCAGGAGCTAGTGGGATGGCAGCACTGAGCCAAAGGGCTGAAAGGGTTAGTGGTGCAAAACCACATTGGGATGGCGGCTACACAGATCCCTAGAGACAAAGGGGGAGAAAAGGGTGCAGGGACAGGGGCAGATAATGCCTGACAGAATGGGAGAGGTTTGGGTTCAGAGTCTGCAAGGGGGAGGCTTCCCAACTCCCTAAATCCCCCTCTCCCCCAAAAAAATCCTGATCCATATTTCTCCCACCCACATCCAGCAATGTTTATACATATTTGTACTGTGTTAAAAAAATGTTGTAAGCCACCTCAAATATTTTAGAGAGGCAGGGTAAAAATATTTAAATAAACTCTCCACATTCACACCAGGCTCCTTCCCGCCCTCTCAGTTTCTCTGTTAACCCTATCTCCCAAGCCTTTGCACTGCTTCTGACAAGTGCAAGAAATACAGTCTGTATTGTAATTTAGAAGATGTACACAAAGTTCTATTTGAATATGCCTAATAAGGAATCCATTCGTCAAAAAACCACCAGCACTTGTCTCTATTGTTACAAACATAAATGGTAACAGGAATTTTGAATTAAGTTACCAAAATAATTGAAACTGGCACGCTTATATTGGGTTATTTTTTACAAATACAAAATGCGAACTTAAAACATTCTGCAACAGAACAGTTCTGTGCACAATTCCCCCAGGAATACATCTTTTTGGATTCATTGCGACAGACATGAGATCAGGCTTTTTCATCTCCTCAGAGACCAGTGCTGAAGCTGGTGACCATGCACTTACAAAACCATACATTTCAAAGCCAGAGGTTTAGCCATTATGTATGTAAATATTTGTATTAGTCATTTTATAATGTCTCTTAAGTCTGTTTCATATTGTAGAAACTTTGTATTAAGCATTTTCATATAACTTTATATTAAGTCTTTTTATAATGTTATAGTCCTTCAGGAATAATCAAGGTAAAGAAAATTGATAGAAATGTAGCTGTGTTAGTCTGGTGTAGCTGAAACAAAAAACAGGACTATGTAGCACTTTAAAGACTAACAAGATGGTTTATTAGGTGATGAGCTTTCGTGGGCCAGACCCACTTCCTCAGATCAAATAGTGGAAGAAAAAATTGTCACAACCATATATACCAAAGGATACAATTTAAAAAAATGAACACGTATGAAAAGGACAAATCAAATTTCAAAACAGAAGGGGGAGGAAGGTAAATGTCTGAGCTAACGATATTAGGAGGTGATAATTGGGGAAGGGGACCTTCCACGAGACTTCTTTACCCTCTTGGAAAGAGGAGAGTGAGACCGGTGCCGAGATCTTAACGTGGACACACAGTGCCAATGAGGGGTCTCACGCGTCGAAGCTGGTGTGCTGCGCACCGTAGGTTGCTCCAGTGGCACCGGTTGTAGCGCTGTCTCCATGAGAAGTTTCAGGCGGGAAACTCTTTCTTTCCTCGTGCGGGGCTTAAAGGACTTACAGATCTTGCAGGCAATTGCGAGATGGAGTACGTGTGCGCACTTCAGACAACTGTCATGTGGGTCGCCTCTGGGCATAAACTTCCTGCAGGCAGCACACGCCTTAAAGCCCTACAGCCCAGGCATTCCTCACCCCCGAGGGGGGAAGAGACAAACAAAGAACCTAACTAACTAAGAGAACTATTTACAATCAAGGTAGAAGAACGGGAACCATTAACTAACTGACTGACTAAGAGATAGAGACGCTCCAACGACCGTCATGGGCGGTAAGAAGGAACTGAGGTGGGGCAGTATTGGCAGGGGGACTGTTTATGTCAACTTGCCATTGAGAAATGCCTGATGGGTGAGATCTTGCTTCCTGCATGTATGAGACAGTATCAGATAGTAAATTTTGTTTTGCAGAAGCGCTCGTATCAAGTATTGGACTTAAGCTAGTTGGACCATATGATATTCTTGCTGGAAAACACAAAAGAGCAACATCAGCAAATCTCAACTTCAACCTTCACTGGAGGTTTTTTTATGATCCCCCTGAATTTCAGACTATAATTGCTGGGGATAGCAAAACTCAGTATCACATGGGATATTTCAGGTATTTCGTTTTAGATATGACCCTTCCAAAATGTGTATTATCTTTTTCTCCATTTCCACGAAGGTTAGCAGTGTAAGAACTGTGCACCATTGTCATATGCTAGAACTGTATTACCCCCTTCCATCAGATGACACTTCAGCCATCATCTTAAGTAGCTAATGTTATAGGATAAAATGTATTAAAAGGGCTGGTGGTGAGAATTAAAGATCTAAAAACCAAACAAACCCTGTATTTAATCATACTGTTCTGTAACTACTTCCATGATGTCCTGGAGCAAATGATTCCCCACAGCTGCGATTGGACAGGTCCCCGATTCAGCTGTTGCTGAAACTGACCAGCAGCTGACTCCGGGAAGCCCGAGGCAGAGCTGCTCTGCCCCAAGCTTCCCAGAGTAAGCCGCTGGTCAATTTCAGCGGTGGCTGAATCGGGGGCAGCTGGGGGGCTGCCGGGGTGGGGCAGCGCTACGGGACCTACCAGGCAGCACCCCAGCTTCCCCGATTCAGCCGCTGGTCAGTTTCAGCAGCAACTGAATCGGGGAAGCTGGGGGCGGAGTAGCTCCAGTGGTCTGGCTGCCCGGAGCACTTCAGGGTTCCTGATGGTGCCAGACCAATGGAGTTTTACTGTATTTAAGTTGATTTAAAACTTTTGGAGAACAACTTTAACTGTTCTGCATAAGCAGTGTTTTTTATGAATCAAAACATGAATAACTCTTACCAAGTGAGAAGAGCCAATAAATATCAAATGATGTTTTAAAAGATAGTAGTGGCATTCAATCTAAGATCATATTTAGTAGGTTCCCTCCTTTAACTATGTATTTTTACCCTTTTGAAAAGCAGAGCACTACAGTACTGCTGAAATTACTAGGTTCCATTCCGAAAAAGAAAAATATTAAAGGTTCTTTCTTATTCTTCCAAATTATAAAGAAATATAAACTAATCATAAGAATCTTCTAGGACAGAGGTTCTCAAGCTATTTGGTCCATGTATCCCTTTTCAAATACAATGTTAATCATGGTCTGCGAGCTGACAAACTGATGGATAAAGGTGTATTTCAAATCAACATATACTGTTAGTAACGCTTCAGAAAAAGTGCATCAGAGTATTTAGAAATGACAGTAAGATGAGCATTACTGCTTCTTATTGTGCAGTCTTTCCTTGATGTTACTGTTGGCATTTTGAGCATCCCCCCCATACAATCTCTAAAGACCCCCTTGGAGTACCAGGACACCTATTTGAGAACTGATGTTCTTGGTGTTAAAGGGCCACCACAGTGAATTACAATTATTATTTTTTTTAAATCAACAAAATACTAGTTTCTCATTTAAAATAGTCATTCTTGGTGTTAAAGGACCACCACAGTGAATTACAATTTTTTTTTTTTTTAAATCAACGAAATACTAGTTTCTCATTTAAAATAGTCGCAATGAAATCTTATCACAAACATGTTACAACTACATTTACAGCCTCATAAAAATGTTGTAACATGTTTGTGATAAGATTTCATGTGTGTCCAGCCTAACAGACAGCTCCAGCTTCTTGAAAGTTCTGGGCTTTCAATGCATCAAGATTCTCTGTGCATTTTAGTAGAAGTGTGATTTAGGGAACAGATTGGGAATTTACTTGTTATATTGGATGTTGCTAGGAAAAAAGTTTAGCTTATGGCTTGTTTAATTAGTTAAGATTCTAAAACTGCTTATCAAATATATAGTACAGA